TATATTAAATTTAATTATATAACTATAAAATAATATCGGCGACCAACGTTAGACAATCGATAACGTTGACCAACGGCGATAACACTGACAGTATGAGAATTTAGTTAATAAGTTCTTCAGCTCATACATAATTAGTTCATATTAATTACAAATTTCGATACCGATGTTGAAGGGACAATCATACTGCACATTTACTTCATATGTAATAATGCATATTTAATTTATATATAATGTATATTTATTTCTTGCATAATACTTACTTAATTGATATCAAATGCAGCATCGGTCTTTGTTAGTCAACGTTAGTGGTCAATGACGACGATCAACACCGCTGGTCAATGCCAGTGGTCAACAATCAAAGCCGACAGTCAATCAATATTTAAATAATTTAAAAAAATATAATATTAAATCATGGTCATACATTTGCCCCTATTTAATGATTAAGATTGAAAGTGACATTTCTATTTTAAAAATATGGATCCATTTGATTCAATCACCGTATATTGCAAGTTCTTCAAATATCCACAATGTACTATATTTTATTTAAAATGGACAATAGATATCACTGATGAAAACTAAGTAATATTACTTTATTATAAGTTGTTGATAATATTTGTTCTAAAGATATTTAATCTATTACTATATAAAAACAATAAGAAAAAAATATAAAAATGGCATACCAATTCCTGCTCAAATTTTCGAAACAATAAGAAAAAAATATAAAAAATGGCATACCAGTTCCTGCTCAAATTTTCGGTTTTTACTATTAATAGAAATGTTTTCTCGAAAATTTTCATTTATCCCCCCCCCCCCTTGACATCCTCCCTATATATAATTCCCGAATGCGCTGAGCCTACGTGGCTATTTATGGTATTTCGGAATCCTACTTGGCTAGGTTTAGACAAATAATATTGATATATTAATAATTAATAATTTAGGTTCGGACATTCCATAAATATTATTTAGCTAACTTAGGTACTTTAATATCACTTTTACTAATATAATCCTTTAATTCTTTGTAATTTTATATAGTGAGACACTAAGTGACTAATATATCCCTGACTTTTGATTTGTTTCCTTCAATTAGCTATTGAATTGTAAATTTATTTTAAAAGTTGATAATTTTTGTGTTTCATATCGGTTTTACATATATGATATATCAAATTAATCATTTTGATGATCTTCGATTTGACATCCATATTGTATATATGAAATAAATAAATTATATTTATCTTTATAATAATAAAAAATAATAATATTTATTAAAAATTATTAGAAAAATAAAATTATTTATCAATTGATATATTTATGTTTAATGTAATTGTATGTTGTAAGTTAAAAAAATTATTATAATATAACACAGGTAAGTCGCACAAATAAAAAAGTGTCATACTAAATATATAATAATATATATATTTTTATAAAAGGTATTGAAATTTTTAATTAATTTTTCTCATTAATTTTATATTTTAATAAAAAATTAGCAAGCACCCGTATAATACACGGGCGTTGTACTAGTATTTTTTAATTTAAAAAAGTGTAAAATTTAATTATTACTAACAAATATATAGACCATACACTAATAATAATTACATAAGTCTAATTTCCTATAATTACGCAATCTATGTATTGAAATAATAATAATTAGATAAGTCTAATTTCCTAAAATTACGCAATCTATGTGTTGAAATAGATGGTCTCATATCCTGTAACAATTTCTCACCATATCTTTCAATAAATTAATGTATTTTTTGCTTTTATAAGAGCCTCTCCAACGCTACACCAGATGAGGCGTTTTGCGCTGGAGTAGCGAGAAAAACTCCTCCAATGTTGCGCCAGAGGAGAGGAATGAATAGTGTTGCGCCATATGTGGCGCAACACTGTCGCAACACTGTAGCGTATCGCTACAATTTTTATTTTTTGTTTTTTTTTTTTTTTTAAGTATTATTATTGGTAAATTTTTGTATAAAGTGTATTAGTGAATGTATTTTTTTATGCTAAATAATTTGGTAAATGTATATTTATGCTAAATAATTTTGTGCTTTTTATTTATTGATGTATTATAGTTTTATTTTATAATTTTTTATTATTATAATGATACCATATGAATAAAAATTTAACACATTCAAATAAGTTTATTATTTCATCAAAATTAATTTGAAATAGAAATATAAAAAACTTTTTTATTATTTGAGTAATTAACATTTTACATAATATTAGCTATACATATATACCAATTTATTTGAAATAAAAAAATAATATATTTGATGTAAAGTGAAATGTAGAAATAAGAATTGGAGATGAATGTTCAACTCTACTCTAGAGTAGAGTAAAGTCCGCTCTAAAGTAGAGATAAGGGTTAGAGATAACCTAAATGATTATCTTGGCCTCTTATTTGTTTATTAATATGGTAATTTGAATATTCCCTCAGGCTATCTCACTCCCTACTTTATTATTATTATATATACTTATATAAAAAATCATCTCATTTACTAGAATTAGTAAGAAGAAAAATCAACTCATAATTAATTGCACACCATATTTAAAAAGTTTTTAGATTTTTTAAATAATAAAATAGGGCAGCATTAAATGCCCCTAAAATTATGTGTTTTGTTGAATTCATTTTAATAAAATGTGCATCTATATTTACGTGTGGTTTTGAAGTGAATATTTGAAATTTAAAATCTCTTCACATTTTAGTTACAAAAAAATTGGGCTGCATTCAACACGTGGATCAATTTAAAAATTATTCTTCAAATGAAAGAATTTATAGATAATTGTTATCTCTACTCAATCACATGATTATTTTCAATATAAAAAGAGACAAATTACAAATTAGTAAATCATATATTACCTAATTCAATATCTTAACATTAAGGAATAAATCCATAATATTATGTAAATTCGTATCCCATATTATTATATCATTAAGAATATATTATAACTATATTATCAAATCATAAAAAGATAGTATAACCATATTGTAAAAAAAAATTCATATAATTTTATAACAATTCTATTGTATTTAATATTTTTATTATTTAATAAAATAATAATTAAATATTATATGGTGAACAAGAACAAGTAAAAATTGTTACTTACTCTTATATCAAGGGATAAATTTATGTGCTAAAATAAAATTTTTATTAGTATAAATGTTTGAATGAGAGGAATATATTAATTATTTTATAAGCTAGCTCTAACATGCCCATATTTAATGTTCTAACTAAAAAAACGTTGGTTAAAAGATGTGGAAAAAAGTTTATAATCCTATTATTTTTTAAACTTAATGTTGATTAAAAGTGGTAGAAAATAGATAATGATCTTATTACTTTTTAGACTTAAACGGATAAGACTATGAAAATAGCTCATTTAATATATCCGTCCCGTGCATCGCACGGGGTACGTACTAGTTATTAGAATAAAGAGAATCATTACCAGCATCCCATCTCTTTTAATCTGACAATTTTGTTGACTATAACTTGTGGCATAGAAAGAAAATAATTTATACTTAATTGGACCTTTTAAAGTAATAATGCTAAGATTGATATATATAATCTAGATATATAGTTTATATATGTGTAATATCATATTATTACTATCATTTTTTAACTTTATCGCAAAATTGGTGTAAAGAGGCATTAATAGGATGCAAAAATAAAGTGACTTATTTTGCTCTTTATCACAGAATTGATGTAAGGAGATTAAAAAGTATATATGCAAAAATAAGAATAATTGGATACAAAACACCATCTAATCAATTGCAATTTTACTAATTATGACTAAAAGTCGTTCACATAAAACTAAATTTTTAGATGATAGTTGTAATTTGTTTATGAATGTAAATACTAAATAGTGACATAAGCATTTTTGCGATAAGAGAAATTAAAACTCAAATTAAGTTGCACAAAAAAATTCAAAATTATTTTAACACCGACAGTTTCTGTAATTATCGCTTACTAGTAGAATTCATATTAGTAATTGAAAACAAAAAGAATCGATTTATCAAAACGTAATCAAGAAATGATTGACGTAAGCCGTCAATGGAGAATAAATTTTTTGCCGTTAATTTTGGCAAAAAACATGCAACATGAAATTTTTAATGAGGTCCAATTTCAACTGATTATAATAAATTTTGTTATGTATTATATACACATTTAATTTGTAAAAAACATTATCTCACAATAATATATGGTTTTTCATATTTTGTATTTCTTTTATTGTCATTATGAGATGTTTAAATATAAATAATTATATTTAAAATAAACTTTAAAACAAAAGCCTCATTAGCTGTGATTTGTATCATTTTATCTCATAAAAGTCGTATCTATCTTCTGACTTTTTGTAATCAAATTACATATAAATAAGCAACGCAATGTGATTTGTTATTTCTCATGCATACGATTGGGTGTCCGATTGCGTGTCGCATAGAGATTATTGACTTATTATTAAAAATTAACATGAATTTAGTACCATTAATTGGAGTTTGATTAATCAATACAATGTAGCTGTTATCATTTCTTCCAATAGATATTACGATCTTGTTACGGAACCATTACGTCAGAGTTTGTAATCGTTGGATCATCATGTAATCTCCGAAAATAGTTAATCTAACGGTTACAAACTCCCACAGAATGAGTTCGTAACGGAACCGTAACACCTCTTCATTTATTAATTGCTTTTTTAGCCAGTTGTTTGCAGAAGAATAATATAATAATAGCATCATCATCTTTTGGTCAAATTTTTGTATATATATTTTCCAAATATTTGAATCTCGTCGCCCACCTAATTTTGACCGTTCTTCTCAATTTTTTTTTAATTTTAAAGTCACGCTGGCAAAAAATGTACAAATTTTATTTTATTTTATTTTTTATTTCTTTTATTGTTTATTTAATTTTATATCGGAAAACCAGATCTTGAGCAAGAATCTCTCGCAATTGGACACATTCAAACACACGACGTTAAAAACGGAAACGAATTGAATTAATCGAAAGGAAGAATCAGGAGGCGCGTGGCGCGTGTACCTTCATGGTGACGACAGGTGTCTGATTCCGACTGGCCCCCCACAGTATGAGCGCAAAGAAGGTGAACAGCACGCAGAACCCGACAACGAAGGCGAGCGCGTAGCACCGCCGCGGGACCCCGTGGGGGCGGCGGCCGTCCTCGTCCAGCAGGCCCTCCTCCTCGATGGCGTCGAATCCTTTGCCCGTCTTGTGGTGGTGGTGGTGGTGGTGGTGGTGGCGGCGGCCGTTGTTGCTGGACTTGTGGGAGCCCGAGTAGCGGGTGGAGGAGGAGTCCCGCGAGTGGCGGCCCGGGGAGGCCATGGGGCTCAGAATGGGGGTTGAGTGGAAGGAGTTGGTCGTCTTCTCGCCATCGTGTGAGTCACGCGACGGGCTCTGCACGTAGTACACTGCGCGGTTCGGGGACGACGGCGCCAGGCTGGTCTCCTCCGAGTCCGTTTTCCGGTGCATCGACATTTTCCTGTGTTTTTTGGCTTTGAGAAGGAATAGATCTCGGGGAGGGTGTAAATGATGCTTTATTGAGTCGGGGGAGGAGAGAGTCCGAGGAAACACATCACGTTATTATTGAAATTTATATTTATACTATAGGACAATGCTACCATCCCGTAAACCGTTGTGTTTTTAATCGTTGGATTAACTACCCATCACTGGATTACATGTATATCTATGGCTAAAAAACACAACGGAATCATCTTGTAACGAGATAGCATTCTCATAGTACCCCTTTTTTCAATTAATATTAATAAAATAAAACTTGTTGATTGTGTATTATTATTATTTTTTTTTTTCTTAATGTTTCCACTTTCCAGTGATGGGAATTTAATTAAAGAGACAGAGTCAGTTAAGCCACTGAAAATGATGGGATTCTTTAATTAATTCTGACTCCTCGTGAAGGTAATTTGATGGATCATTAAACAATGCTGATGTCACTACAATATGAACAGTAAATTTGGTTTGTATTTTTTTATTTTTTTTTTCCTAGGAAACAGTAGAGAATTTTATATGAAAAATGACAAATGTGAAAAAATACAGCTCCTATTTGAGTAATACAACCAAAAGTTTAATAGATTAGAAGGACGAATTCAAAGACCACCTAGAGTCGAAAAGGGACGCATGGGACTCGAATCGACCCACCTCAGCACCGGTTGATTTGGCTCAGACGAACCAAGCAACCAAGGTCGCACCCAACACCCCGACCATGATCAGCAACCCACCACGATCCGGCAGAACCGCAGTCGACTGGTCAGAGACGAAGTTGACCAAACGTGCATCCACCATCAACGCGAGCCGAAAGAAGCCAAGACTGCCACCTGTGATCGTGAGAAGCCGAGTCTGGTCGATGCCTCTGAGATCAACCAACGGTTCAAGAAAGCTGGAAGACGCGTGAAATAGGAGCAATGGTGCGCATCGACAGACCATCCGCCGACGCAGCGACCGACGGACCGCCGGGGAAGGCACGATGAAGGCAGTTGGAGGTGCGATGATCAGAGGAGAGGGGAGCTAGGGTTTTGAGAGAAAAGGGATGGAAAAAAATAAATAATTTTTCTAAACATAAATTTGGTTTGTATTGACTCCAAGGAAAAAACTTACCATTCGAACTACCATAACGTTTGCGTATTAATATACAATTCTTTTTTTTCTTAACAAATAATCATCCGCACTATGCAGGTTTGTCACTTTGTCATACGAAACTAGAATTAAAGTGGTTTTTGTTAAAAAAAAACACAGCTAATTTGTAAGGGTATTGTAGGAATTGCATATGTTTAAAAAAATAAAAATAAAATAAAATGAAGAGTGGATCTTAAAAATGGGCTCTCTCT